CAGTGGTCCAGTCAGGTTGACACACAAAATTAACCATCACCTGAAAATAAAAAGTTGTGTAGAGATGGGCACCTTGGGATAAAAGGATACTCCTTTTATAAACATATATAGAGAGATGGGGTCTCACTGTGTTGCCCAGGCTGGTCTTGAACTCCTGGGCTCAAGCAATCCTCCCATCTCTGCCCCCAAGCACTGGGGTTACAGGTGTGAACCACGTTGCCCCATCAGAAATGACACCTTTCAATTGAGAGATGTAGCCAGCCTGAAGGAACCCTGCAAGAAGGGAGCCAGAGGAATAAATGCCCTGAACTCATTCTACTCCCTTTTACCAATCTCCTGTCTGGGATCCCCCTTGGATGGACCCAACTGGAAGCCAGGAAGCATGAGCCCACTAATGTAGCTCATACAGGACTACAAGAACAGAGGATAATGAACTTCTTGGGGCAAAGAGTAGGGTGAAAAAGGGTGAAAAGTACATCCACAGGGGCAAATGGAAGATATCCTACACACTAGATTATGCTGCAGTAATAAGCAATTCCAGCAGACTCGAAGAAAGCAGAAGGAAGGAAATAAGATTAAAGCAGAAATTAGCACAATAGACAAGCATACACTTGATGGCAACAAGTCAGTCCCAAGTTTGTTCTTCAAAAAGAGTAAGAAAATGAGAAATATCTGGCAAGACTAATCAAGAAAAAGAAAAGACATAGATAATGAATATTAAAAAACAGGTCAGGCATGGTGGCTCACACCTGTACTCCCAGCACTTTGGGTGGCTAAGGCAGGAGGACAATTCGGATGCCAGGAGTTTGAGACCATCCTGGGCAACATGGCAAAAACCCTGTCTCCACACACAAAAATGTTTTAATTAGCCAGGTGGGATGGTGCACACCTGGAGTCCCAGCTACTTGGAAGGCTGAGGCAGGAGGATTGCTTGAGTGTGGGAGGTCAAGGCTGCAGTGAGTCATGATCATGCCACTGTACTCCAACCTGGGCAACAGAGTGAGACCTTTTCTCAAAAAAAAAAAAAAGAAAAAAGAAAAGAAAAGAAAAAAGGAACAAAAAAAGACAGCACAACTTCATGCCAATTAATTCATAGAAAAGTACAAACTTTCTAAGTTAGGAAACAGTGGGGTTTAGGAAGGGACCTTCTTTCCTCTCTTTGATCTCTGGCCTGGAATCTGGGGTGTTGATCGATGACCAAGAGTATCCCTGGGGTGTGTGGATGAGCTGGCCTTGGCCCCAAAGAAGCCTGAATAATAGAGTGGACTGTTGTTCTAAGAGTAGCTGTTAGCTAGTAGATGATGTAATTTCTTTCCATTATGCCTCAGCTTTTAGTCAAGTCTTGTTCAAAGTCATAGTAGTTCTTGTCTATGTTATGGGGAACTACGTGTAGGCCTGGGTCTCTATTTGAGGCATAGTAATAGAAGGCAGGAGGTATATCCCTGCCTATCAAGGTAGCCACAGAGGTTTGCCATGGTATGGAAGAAAATGATCAGCAGCTGAATTAGCCAAGGTTCATGGGCAAAGATGAAGTTGGCAGATAAAGTCAGACAAATTCCTGGTTAAAAGTTACCTCCTTTCTCACTACTGCACTTGACTAGTCTAAAAAAAAAAGTTACCTCCTGAGCTATTTAGAGAAACAGTTGATTCAGGGCTTCAACAGAAACGAGATCAGCTGAGCTTGGAACAACCTGTAATACCAGAAAGCAAGGATGCTATCAAAGACTATTGGGGTTGTGTTAACAGGACTCAGGGCTAACTTGAAGAGAGGCTTCCACTGGCCATAAATGGGACAATTTGAGCTTTGATAAGAAAATAATTTCAATGAACTGAAAATCATCAAATGAGTTTATATCCAAGAGTTCACAATACTTAAAAAAACAAAACAAAGCAAAGCTTCATTGTCACCATTGGAGGATGCTAGGGAAACAATGCATTATTCTGGAAAATAAAAAAAGTTAAGAATCAAATATTTGAATGAATTGAATGAACTCTATCTCAAGGAACCCAAATAGTTGATGAGAGAAGTCTTTCTTTAGAGAAGTAGTCTAGCTTGGCCAGGCGCAGTGGCTCATGCCTGTATTCCCAGCACTTTGGGAGACTGTGATGGGTGGATCACCTGAGGTCAGGAGTTTGAGACCAGCCTGACCAAAAATGGTGAAACCCTGTCTCTACTAAAAATGAAAAATTAGCTCGGTGTGGTGGCGCATGCCTGTAATCCCAGCTACTTGGGAGGGTGAGGTAGGAGAATTGCTTGAACTCAGAGGCAGAGGTTGCAGTGAGCCAAGATCAAGCTATTGCACTCCCGCCTGGGCAACAAGAACAAAACTTCATCTCCAAAAAAAAAAAAAAAAAAAGGAGAGAGAAGAAGTAGTCTAGCCTAATAAAAAAAAAACCTCTTTGAAACCCCTGTTGAAATAATGAATCTAAACAATGATCAACAAATGGCTATTAGTAAACAGACAAGCAGACATCACGTGTCTCTTGACTGAAAGAAACAGTGCTTATGAACCATTCTTAGAGAAAAAAAACCGGCCTAGGCAAAATAGCGGGACCCCATCTAAACAAAAAATTTAAAAATTACCAGGCATGGTGATGTGAACCTGTAGTCTCAGCTACTCGGGAGGCTGAGGCAGGAGAATCGCTTGAGCCTGGGAGGCTGAGGCTGCTGTGAACTGTGATCATGCCACCGGGTGACAGGGTGAGACCCTGTCTCAAAATAAGTAAATACACAAATAAAAACAAAAGTAAAAATCCAAATCTGATGATGCCTCTAATTCTTAATATCAACTGTAAAAAACAGTTATATAATAAATATCTCAGAGATGCAATTAACAAAATCCATGATATGGGAAATCTCTAGGGCATACAACTGTTGTCTTTAACAAACAAACTGCAGTAAAAAAAGAGGAGGAGTGGGGAGGGAGGGAGGGAGGAAGGGAGAGGGAAAGAACTCCTATAAAAGATACTTCAGAGACATATAATCTCATTTCACATATATAAATCAACCCTATGTGGGTCCTGATTCAAACAAACTATAATACAAAGTTATGAAACAAAACATTTTGAACATTAATTGGAGAGGATATCAAGAAATGATTATTGATTTCTACAGACGCACTTTGGGGATGCATTCTGAGATACTTTTAGGAATAAAATGTTTGGAATCCTAAATAATCTAGTGTGAATGTAAATGAAATAAGGTTGGCCATGAGTGCACCATCTTTGAAGCTAGTTTGTTGAAACTGGGTGATGAGCACACAAGGGATTGCTGTCCTGCTCTCTCTACTTTTGTTTATGTAAAATTTTACTTGGCCAGGCATGGTGGCATGCACCTGTGGTCTCAGCTACTTGAGAGGCTGAGGTGGGAGGATCACTTGAGCCTGGGAGGTGGAGGGTTCAGTAAGCTCAGATTACGGCACTTCACTCTAGCCAGGGAGTGAGTGAGACCTTGTCTCCAAATCAATAATGAGATAGAATAAAATAAAATTGTACAGCCTGGCCATGCATGCTGACTCATGCCGCCAGCACTTTGGGAGGCTGAGGCAGGCAGAATACTTGAGCTCAGGAGTTTGAGACCAGCCTGGGTAATGTGGCAAAACCCCATCTCAACAAAAAATACAAAAATTAGAAAAATTAGCCAGGGATGGTGGCATGCTCCTGTTGTCCCAGCTACTCGGGAGGCTAAGGTGGGAGGATCACTTGAGCCCAGGAGGTCAGGGCTTGCAGTGAACCGTGATTGTGCCACTGCACTCCAGGATGGGCAACAGCGTGAGACCTTGTCTCAAAAAAAAAAAAAAAAAATTTATGACCAGGCACAGCGGTTCATGCCTGTAATCCCAGTACTTTGGGAGGCTAAGGTAGGATTGCTTGAGCCCGGGTATTCCAGACCAGCCTGGGAAACGAAGCAAGACCCCATCTCTAATGTTTACAAAAATGAAACGAAAAATTTAAAGTTATAAGAAAATAAAATTTAAAAAAGAAATAAAATTTTACATAAAGTTTAAAAGCTTGCCTCCTCAGGGAGGCCTTTTCCACCCACGCTATCTAAAGCAGCTTATCTTTCGCCATTGTTTTCTAGCACAGCCCCCTATTTTCTTGTGGAACTGATCACAATGTTATTTTATCTACTTACTAGGTTATTTCTTTCTGCTAGAAATTTAATTTCCACAAGAATAAAAACTGTTTGCCTTGTGTGCTGCTGAACCTCTGGGGCTGGGACTGGTACACAAAGGTGCCTGCCCAGCACCATGGCTCACTCCTGTAATCCCAATTATTCAGGAGGCTGAGGAGGGGGGATTGTTTGAGGCCAGGAGTTTGAGATCAGCCTAGGCAACATAGGGAGACCCCACCTCTACAAAACATTTTTTAAAAATCAGGCAAGTTGGAGTGGTGTGTGCCTGTGGTCTCAGCTACTCCAGAGGCTGAGATGGGAGGATCACTTGAGCCTGGGAGGTCGAGGCTGCAGTGAGCCATGATCATGCCACTACAGTCCAACCTCAGTGACAGAGGGAGACCCTGTCTCAAAAGAAAAGAGGTGCTTAATAAATCTTTGTTGCATGGAAGGACAGGTGGATACATGGGTCAACTAAAGAGCAAGAAGTGGCCAGGTGTGGTGGCTCACGCCTGTAATCCCAGCACTTTGGGAGGCTGAGGCAGGCGAATCACCTGAGGTCGGGGGTTCAAGACCAGCCTGGCCAACATGGTGAAACCCTTTTTCTAAAAAAAAAAATTAAAATATAGGAAAAAAAAAAAAAAAAAGAGTAGGCAGCACAGGTTAGAGCCAGAACTAACTAAGAAATACATTTATGGCAACACTTTCCCGAAAGACACCAGAAAAGGAAGGGAGATTCAACTATGGACCCTGGGATCTTTGGAACCCCCTTTTTTCCAACTGCATGAGAAAATTAACTAGATTCACAATTGCCCATAGCCACCAATCCTTTCGTTGAATGAAACCTCATGAAATAGCCCAATATATAAAACGTGACATCCAAAACATGATAGCCAAAAGCAGATTTATTATTTAGTCTCACAAAAATAAAAATAAAAAAATTATCCAGTGGTTACGAGGAGTCTAGGAAAACCTGTCCCAGTAATGCCAATTTGGAGGTGAAAGGCTGACTGGGGCAGCTGAGAAGTGGGACCTTCTGTTTGGCAGGCTTCCTCTCCCTTGCCTGGTCATGGTTTTCAGGTGAGAAGAGTGTTCCTGGCCCTGCTGGGGGTTCCCATGGCCCCGAACTCACAGTCTTCTTCTGAAATTTTGACCTGTTCCGTTTGAGAGCGTAGAATTCCCTCATCAAGTCCTCCACCTCCCACTGCTCTTCCTTCAGCCTCCGGCAGCAGTGCAGGGCAGCAGGGTCAATGGGGTGAGCTTCTGTGTTGAAGATGTACCCCCCAGCCCCCAGGATGCACTCCCCATAGGGGGTGATCACTGCGTCAAAGGTAGAGCCATTGTTGTGGATGAAGTTTGTTGGGTCAAACAGAAGGTAGAGGTATTTCACAGTCTCGGCCAGGAAGAATGACTCCATGCGGTTGTCCAGCTTGTGGTCTCGCAGATCTTTGATCTGACACGTGGGGGAAGGAAGCAAGTTGGAACAGCATCACCATTTGGTAGTAAGGGGCAGACAATCCCTTAAGAGTTCCTGTTCTGCCACTAAGCAGCTGAGGGCCTGTGAGCAAATCACTGAAACTTTCAGGACTTCACTCTTTCCCAAGCCACCATCATCTCTCACCTGGATTATCTCATCAGCTTCCCAGTAGGCTCCCAGCTTCCATCCTTAGCCTTACAGTTTATTTATTTACTTACTTATTTACTATTTTAAAAAATAGAGATGGAGTTTCACCATGTTTACCCAGGCTGGTCTGGATTATCACATCAGTTTCCAAATTGGCTTCCAGTTTTCATCCTTAGCCCTACAGTGTATTTATTTTTGTACTATTTTAAAAAATAGAGATGGGGATCTCACCGTGTTGCCCAGGCTGGTCTCGAAATCCCAGACTCAAGCAATTCCTCCTGCCTTGGCCTCCCAAAGTGCCAGGATGACAGGCATGAGACACACACCCAGCCCCTATAGTATATTTATAGCGTAAATCTTCCTGTCAATCTCTACCCAACACTTTCTGTGAACCCTCCATTTCATGCAGGATAAAAATGGAGTCATGACCTGGTCCCTGCTCCCTCCCTCCCTGCCCTCACCTCTTACCTCTCTAAGAGCTCCAGCTGCTGCCTTTGTCCTGAGCTAGCACACACTCCTGCCGCGGGCTCTTTGCATCTGTGGTTCTTTCAGCCTGCAGCACTCTTGCCTCCAGCTTTCCTCATAGCTTGCTCCCTCCCTTCCTTCAAGTCTCTGCTCAAAGGCTTCCTCACCAGAAAGGTCTCCAATAGCCTTCCTCTATGACAGGACAATCTCCTATCCCATTTATCCCACCTTTTTGTGACTATAAACACAGAGCTATTGTCCCTTTTAATGATGGCATAGGATTCCATTGTGAAAATGTATCACCATTTACTTAGCTACCTCCCTGGAAGGGCATTCCGGTGATTCCCAAGTTTTTGTAAGCAGCTAATAAGGAGTCTTTTTTTTCCCCTCCATTCACAGACCCAAAGTATCGACACTTACTAACTAGTTCAACTGCTGTTGATGAAAACTATTGACATTGTTTTAGTAAGGAGTCTTATTTAGAGAATTTCAACTGAGTTTTCAGGCATAGATGACAAAGATTACTTGCTATAAACATTTATTTTAGCTTCTCAGAATTAGTAATGCTTTTAAACAGAACACTCTCAGTGGACTTTATCTTACATTTAAAAATATGACTCAAATATGGTCTTGATATATCAAGACTATTATTTTCTTGCCCTGTTTGACAAAGGTCAGATGCCTGTTCCCATCACGACGGAAGACCTCCAAAGGGCTTCATATTCACGGAAATGAGCCCAGCATTCCTAGGAAAACCCCAGTAGGCTTATCATTTTGGTTTTTTACACAATACGGCATATTAGAAACCAAATCATATCAGGGCTTTATTTTTCCCCCTCCACATGCAGGTCTTCTCTCTTCGCCTACACTTATCTATATTTTACTTATAGAATACAATCACATTACAAAATTTTGCAAAATAAGTTGTTTTTTAAAAATTCTAATTCAAACATACTCCAAGAGCAAAATAAGTTTTTTGTTGTAGTTTTGAATTCCATACCCCAGCCCCAACTCTGTAGGCTTTCAGGGGAATTTTCTTCCAGACCATTTTCTTCTACATCCGCAATGGCTATTTATATCTTGCCTGCTTGGGTCCTATATGGATGTGAGATGCCTCTCACCTTTGACCTTTCAATCTATTCTCCACAGAGCAGCCAGAGCGATCTTTCTAAAATACAAATCAGATCATGTCACTACTCTGCTGTAAATCCTACCAAGGCTTCACATTCCAAGGAGAAAAAAACCCAAACTCTTTCCTGTGGCTCACACAAAGCCCTGTGATCTAGCCCCTGCCTACCTCTGGGACCTTATTTCTTCCCACTTTTCTCCTTGCTTACGCCACTCCAGCCACACTGGCCTTCTGTCTACCAGATACACATTCATGGTTTTTTTCTCATTAAAATGTAAGCTCTGTGAGAGCAGGGTCACCGCTATAACCCTTGGGCTAGCAGAGTGCCTGGCATGTGAAAGACATTCAATAAATATCTGGAAGACTAAGTAGGACTGCTTTGTTAAGGAGTCCCAGGTCTGAATATAGGGCTATGGGACTCTGGATTTCCCTAACAAAACTTTTTACGAAACTCGCCTTTTCAAAGTCACCAATTCAAACAGATCAAGGATCTCTGATGTGGGAGGAATGGCAAGGGCCTGGTTCAAAATAAAGAGGAACTAATCTTAGCTCTACCTCTACTAGCTGTGAGATCTTTAGCAAGGCACTTAGCTTCTCTGTTCTTTGGTCTCCCCATCTGTAAAACACAGGCATTATGTCTATCTCCAAGGTCCCTTCTAGTGCTGATACATCAGAACTCCCAAAGCTCTACTCTTAAAGAGGCTTTTTAGCAGCAATGGGGAAATTCTTCCCATTTCTTGGGGCCATGAAAACACTTACTGTTGCAAATCCACACTCCACCTTGCTGATTTTTTCAATGGATTCCACAGCATCTCTTCCAAGTTCTAGAAGGGTGGGATCCCCCGTGGCACGGTAGAGGTACATTGCGCTTTCAATGAGTTCTGCAAAGTCCAAAGCAGACCCTCCTCACTCAGTGGCTGCACAGGGATGGCCTGCGGCCTCTTAGGGCAGTGAGGGACTACTCTCCTCCATAGCTTGTCCATAAGGCCCCAACTAGTAGGAACACAGGATACCTCATCCAATGCTGAATTTCAGAGCCAGTATACCCAAAGCTTGAAGCTCAGGAGAGATCAGCATTCAGGCTGACCAGTGATTCCCACCCCAAGGGAAAGAAAGGTAGCCAGGATCTGGGGTAGAGAAGGTGGCAGAGGCTGTTCCCCGCTTCCTCCTTAGTAGCAGAATTCCTAACTTCAGCTAAACACAGGCTGCCTGGCTGCCAACGCTAACAATTATTCTAACAGCTAGGTGGGATTAAGGACACCATGGCGAGCCATATAGGCTCTGAACTTGAGACAGAAAAAATTTCTATCCTAATTAAGCTACTATTTTTTTTCTGTCACTCAGAGTCTAACCTAATTCCAAAACTCAAAAGAAGAGTAAGAACCTGGCATCATAAGGCTCTTTCTGAGATAGGGGAGGCCAAAAGATGAAGGCTAAGATAACCAAGAGCAGGCCAGGCATGGTGGTTCATGCCTGTAATCCCAGTGCTTTGGGAGGCCAAGGGGAGAGGATCGTTTGAGCCCAGGAGTTTGAGGCCAGCCTGGGCAATATAGTGAGATCTTGTCTTTACAAAAAATAAAAATAATTAGCTGGATGTGGCATGCATCTGTAGTCCTAGCTACTCAGGAGGCTGAGGTAGGAGGATCACTTGAGCCCAGCAGTTTGAGGCTGCAATGAGGTGTGAGCAAGCCACTGCAGCACTTCAGCCTGGTTGACAGAGTGAGACCTTATCTCAAAGCAAACAAATGAACAAATAACAACAACAAACATCAAAACATCAATCTAACAAAGATGTAGTTGTCAGTTCACTGTGCCCAGAAGAAAATGATGTTTTGTCTTGCCCAACTCTGTGCCTCAACTGGAACTTGATGTTAAGACATGAGCTCTATCTTAAGATGAGTATTAGCCAACAGGAGTGGGTCCAGATGAGAATATTTATTCTAGAGAAAAGAAAATCCAGGAAAATGTGTTTATTGCTTTCAAACACCTGAAAAACTTTTGCAGAGTTGACTTCAAGGGTGACTTCGGCTCAGTATGCTTTCTATTTTATCCACCTTTTCTAAGAGAGAAGAACCCCTGCCCCTTTCTATACCATCATCTCCCCCAATCTTCTGTTCTGTTTCCCCCTGGGCTTGATCAGTGCTTCTTTCCCTTTTGGTTTATTGCTGCAAACTCTGGTTCTTATTTTATTTAATTAATTATTTTGTGTGTGTGACAGAGTCTCGCTCTGTCACCCAGGCTGGAGTGCTGTGGCACAATCTCCACTCACTGCAACCTCCATCTCCCATGTTCAAGCAATTCTCATGCCTCAACCTCCCAAGTAGCTGGGATTACAGTCCTGGCTAATTTTTGTATTTTTAGTGGAGACAGGGTTTCGTCATATTGGCCAGGCTTGTCTCAAACTCCTGACCTCAAGTGATCCCCCTGCCTTGGCCTCCTAAAGTGCTGAAATTATAGGCGTGAGTCACTGCACCCAGCCTCCAGTTCTCATTTTAGAGAAAAGGTCCCTGCCTATCTCCCCATTTCTCTTTTACTTCCTCCTCTTCTCCCCTTACAGACCTCTAGACAATTGCTAATCTAATTGCTCATATTCTAGGTCATAGACTAGGGCACACTCACTGCTAGATGAACACATTCTGTGTGTTCAAAAGCAGAAAAGATAGCGCTGTCATAGGAGGCTTCCTCTTCTTTTTTTTTTCTTTTTTTTTTTTTGAGATGGAGTCTCACTCTGTCACCCAGGCTGGAGTGCAGTGGCACAATCTTGGCTCACTGCAACCTCCACCTCCTGGATTCAAGCAATTCTCCTGTCTCAGCCTCCCGAATAGCTCGGATTACAGGTGCCCGTGACCATGCCCGGCTAATTTCTGTATTTTTAGTAGACATGGGGTTTCGCCACAGTGTCAGGCTGGTCTCGAACTCCTGACCTCAGTTGATTCACCTGCCTTGACCTCCCAAAGTGCTGGGATTACAGACATGAGCCACTGCACTCAGCCTCTTCTGCTTCTAGCAGCTGCTGGGGCCAGAGCCCCATGCCCAGTCATGGTCCTTCTTTCCTCATGCATGAGCTTGTTAGTTACTGCTTCACTTTCCTGTGCATCTGACCAACTCTGTAGAGCAGTGGTCCCCAACCTTTTTGGCACCAGGGACCAGTTTCATGGAAGACAATTTTTCCATGAACTGGGGTTGTAGGGGATGGTTTTGGGATAATTCAAATGCATTACATTTATTGTGTACTTTATATTATTATTACATTGTAATATACAATGAAATAATTATACAATCCACCATAATGTAGAATCATTGAGAGCCCTGAGCTTGTTTTCCTGTAACTAGACAGCCTCATGTAGGGGTGATGGAGATATGGGAGATATTGAGAGATCATCAGGCATTAGCTTCTGATAAGGAGCACGTAACCTAGATGTCTCACATGCGCAGTTCACAATACAGTTCTTGCTCCTATAAGCATCTAATGCGGCGGCTGATCTGACAGCAGATGGAGCTCAGGCAGCAACTCGAGCGATGGGGAGCGGCTGTAAATACAGATGAAGCTCACTCACTCACAGGCTGCTCACCACCTGCTGTGTGACCTGGTTTCTTTTTTCTTTGTTTTTTGAGATGGACTCTCTCTCTGTCACCAAGGCTGGAGTGCAGTGGTGCGATCTCGGTTCACTGCAATCTTTGTCTCCCAGGTTCAAGCGATCCTCCTGCCTCAGCCTCCTGAGTAGCTGGGATTACAGGGTGTGCCACCATGCCCGGTTAATTTTTGTATTTTTAGTAGAGATGGGGTTTCACTATGTTGGTCAGGCTGATCTCGAACTCCTGACCTTGTGATCCACCCGCCTCGGCCTCCCAAAGCACTGGGATTACAGCCATGAGCCACTGTACCTGGCATGACCTGGTTTCTAACAGGCCACAGACTGTATTGGTGCATGGCCTGGGAGTTGGGGATCCCTGCTCTAGAGGAAGGCGACAGCCTGAAGTTTAGATTTGGAATTAGAAGTAAAAGCCTGCAGAAGCCTTTAGGCCAGGCTCTGTGCTCCAACACTGCTGATCAGAAACATATATGAGAGTATAAGGCTCTGGCCAATCCAGTGAAAGAGTAGTCGTTCTCTCCTATTTGTCATTGTTTTGGGGTAGAAAGGATGACTCCTGGATTCTTGACAGTGGTGCCTTATTTTTATTTATTTATTTATTTATAAAGGCCAGGCTCCTTGGGTTAAGTTTACATGCCTCTGTGAAACATGCAGACGACCTGTCCCTTCCTGACCTTTCCTTTTTTTCTTTTCATTTTTTTTTTGAGACAGATTCTCCCTCTGTTGCCCAGGCTGGAGTGCAGTGGTGCGATCTTGGCTCACTGCAAGCTCCATCTTCCAGGCTCCAGCAATTCTCCTGTCTTGGCCTCCCAAGTAGCTGGGACTACAGGCATCTGCCACCATGCCTGACTAATTTTTGTATTTTTAGTAGAGACAGGGTTTAACCATATTGGTCAGGAAGTCTTCAACTCCTGACCTCAGGTGATCCGCCCACCTCGGCCTCTCAAAGTGCTGGGATTACAGGTGTGAGCCACCATGCCCGGCCTGAGTTTCTTGTTTTAAAAACATGCCATGAGAACAAATGCATGGGAAACACCAAGAACAGTGGCCTCTAAGGATAGAAAAGTGACTAATTTGCTCTTTACCCCTCTCCTGGTCCCATCCACACCTCCTACAATAATCACTTGAGTTAGAAGAGGAAGGAAATGGGGTACAGGAAGGCAGCATAAGCAGAAGCCACTAGGAAGGCCTGTCCCATGGCTAAAAGGCAATTCAGGTGGGAAAGTGAGAAATGTGTTTAAAAAATGGGCTCATGGCCTGTTTTAGGGTGAGGGGATGACGGTGTGTGCTGACTAAGCTTCCTTCCTTTGTCCCCCTTTTTCTTCCCCTCCTCACAATTTTCAGCTTCCCTGAAGTGAATCAGAGGGCATCGGGGCTAGAAAGGAACATAAGACAGTGTTTCATGTATTGTCCTTTGCTTGATTCTGAGCTGTAAATGGGGAGGTGGAAGAGACTAGGTAATTCCTAAGGCCTGTCCAAAGTTCTAACATTCCATACACGTAAGCATAATTTATCTGACCCACGGCCTTAGGAAGTTTGCCTACACTTCTGGAATCCTGATGGCAGGAGATCAAAAGGAGTCAACCTTGGCCTTTTCCTTCTCACTCATTTCCTGATTTGAAAGAGCACATGATTTAGTTAGAAGTCCTAGGTTCCAGGCCTAGCTCTGCACTTAAGAGCCAGCGGCAAGCCATTTCATCCCACTAGGCCTCAGTTTCCATATCTGAAAACACAGGGATAATTAACTCCTAGTAAGAAAACCACCCAGAGCCACTGGAAGGAACAGAAAGGGGGAAAAAATGAACTTGTGGGCAGTTGTGGAGCATGGAGCCTTGTAGAGAGGGTTTGGGGTTTCAGGAACCAGGGCCTGCAGGCAGATGACAAGAAATGCTGCTCACCTGGCCGAAGCGGGTAGCCCTCTCGCTTCTCCACTGTGTATCCCTGAGGAATGTTGTAGAATTCTGGGAGCCCCCCAAACTGCTTCCATACAGTGTAGTAGTTGAGGAAGGTCCTCATGGCATTGTCAATGTCTCCAATGAGGCTCTGGGGGAGAAAGTGGCTGTCAGGCAGGTAGACATCAGGCATAAAATCCCACAAACAGGCTGGGCATGGTGGCTCACGCCTGTAATCCCAGCACTTTGGGAGGCCGAGGCGGGTGGATCACCTGAGGTCAGGAGTTTGAGACCAGCCTGACCAACATGGAGAAACCCCGTCTCTACTAAAAATACAAAAACTAGCCAGGTGTGGTGGCGCATGTCTGTAATCCCAGCTACTCAGGAGGCGGAGGCAGACGAATCGCTTGAAACCAAGAGGCAGAGGTTGCGATGAGCCGAGATCACATCATTGCATTCCAGCCTGGGCAACAAGAGTGAAACTCTTTTTTTTTTTTTTGAGACGGAGTTTCGCTCTTGTTACCCAGGCTGGAGTGCAATGACGCGATCTCGGCTCACCGCAACCTCCGCCTCCTAGGTTCAGGCAATTCTCCTGCCTCAGCCTCCTGAGTAGCTGGGGTTAC